AGTATAAGACAATTCAAAGTGGGATATGAAAGAGGGGTGAGGGGAGCAAAAATTTCCCTCAATCTGAAGAAGAGGGAGAATTTCTATGGTAAGCGAGGAAAGGGTTATGAAGGAAAGGAAAAGGATGTGGCAAACGTTATGGGTTGCCAGTGTTTACATCAGTATGCAATTCTTCCTTACATAGAAATATTGTTATAGTTTAAATTCTCTATTTAGTATAGACCAAAGACTTGAGTTATTTTGTGAAATTGTTCCATGTTTTTTTTTTTTCTTTTAAGGCAACTTTGTTTGGGAACAACATATACAATAGAACCTCTATTTAAGACTAGTATATAGATTGTAAGCTATGGTTTTAGAGACAGGAAATTGGAAGGAATTTGAGAATTACATCAGGGATTTGAAAGGGCCATTACAAGGCCAACAGGAAGTACAATAAATGCAGAGGGTGTTGAGGGGCAGTGAATCTTTTGTGATCTTCTCAGGCCCTAGGCAAGATGTACCTTTGGGGGGTCATGCTTTATATTAAATTAATGAGATTTGTTACTCTTAGTATATGCACACTTATTGTAACATAAAAATAATGTTTTAAATTAGTTTCCATTGACATTACTAAAATAATGACCATTTTTTCCTGTGGCTTTCCATGTAATCTAATTTGATAAGCAGTTTTTCATTCAATGATAATATGTGCCAAGCATTGCGGCAGATGTTTGGGATATATATACTAAGAAAGTATTTCTGCCCTTTTGGTGCTATGACCTAGTTAGAGGTCATAATCCTAATCCTACCCTCCTTGGCCCCAGCCCCCCAAAAAGAGCAACAAAGAATTTAAGAGACTGTTTTTCTCTACTCAAATTGCTCTTCAAAATGGCCTTCAGAATAATAAGATTAACCAAAAACATCCAGTTGCAGGGGCCCCAACCCAGATCTAATGATTCAGAATCTCAGAGGGTAGGGCTGAGCTATTTGCATGGTTTAAAAGCTTTATGGGTGATTCTGATGCACAGCTAGGGATGGCAAACTTGCATACAGCAGGGGTGATGCAAACACAAGCAAGTGGGTCATTAACTTACTTGAGGGGTAGATTGGGGAAGGTCAGGTATAGCTCTTTAAAAGAGTAAACCATGAGCTAATTCTTGAAATGTTGAGTGCTCTTTCCTAGGTAGATAGTGAAGAGTCAGGAACCTGAGCCTACTGCTCTGAGAGCATAATATTTAAGGATGACATAAAGAAGGCATAGGCAACTCCAGGACCAGAGCATAGAGGGCTTCTCTAGAAAGCGAGAACAGAATGTGCAAAGACTGACTTAAAAGAAGGCATGTAATAGTTCACCAGTGAAAAGGAAAGAAAGCCTATTACCTGGAGCACAGAGAGCATGGGGGAGCTGGAGGAGCAGAGGATCTATACAGATAGGGAACTGAGAACAATGGGCCCTGACCCCCATGAAAATCACCAGACTGGATCCTAAGAACAGGCATTGAATGTCTAATCAAATCTTCACTTTCAGGCTGGGCACTGTGGCTCATGCCTGTAATCCCAGCTCTTTGGGAGGCCAAGGTCAATGGATCCCTTGAGGTTAAGAGTTCAAGACCAGCAACATGGGGAAACCGTATTACTACAAAAAATACAAAAATTAGTGAGGTGTGGTGGTGGGCACCTATAATCCCAGCTACTTGGGAGGCTGAGACAGAAGAATAGCTTGAACCGGGGAGGCAGAGGTTGCAGTGAGCAGAAATCATGCCACTGTACTACAGCCTGGGGGACAGAGGGAGACTGTCTCAAAAGAAGAAAAAGAAAAAAAAAATTTTTTTGCTTTTATAAGGTTAGGCTGACTGTGACATGGATAGTAAGATATTGGAGATGGAGGAAGTGGAAGCTGTTATATTGAGCAGGACTCTAAGAAAGAAACGATGGGAACTTGCACTGGTTTGAGGGGCAGTGTTAATGGAGAAAATTAGTTGAATTTGAAAGATATTAAATGAATCAAATTGAGAATCCATCAAACAGCCAGGTGAGTTAGTGAAACTCAAATGAGCAGTTGTTGCATATGTCATAGCTTTCCTCATGCTTTCATAAAACTGGGCTAAAAGTGGAATATTAAAAAGTGTTATAGTTAAGTTACAGCATGTGAAAATGTGAGTGTGTGTGTGTCAGTGACACACATATATATTTTGGACGTTGTATTAGAAATGTAAAACTGGGAAAAACCGTCGTAGAAAAATTAAGGAGTACTATAAATAAATCAGCTAAATAATAAAATTGTAAAAAATATTTTCAAAAGTCAAGGGCTAATCCAGTCACCTAAGGACAAATGTGATTCTTCTAGCTGCAAGGGCTGTGTAAGGCCACAGATACTCTGCAGAACTCAGAGTGAGGCCAAGCTTTTCTTATTAAGAAACTAGAATGAATAGTAACCCTAGTTTTTACTAAAGATGATATGGCATTCTTCACATAGTTTGTCTTATGTATCCTATGTTTTTCTTGGGGATTAGAATGGTTTTACAGGTGAAGAAAATTATATTCAAGAAGATTGAATGATTGGTCCAAGGCCATGTCATGGTTCTTGCTACTTAATTTGATTTTGGTCTATATGATAATAGTGAGTTGTAAGTTTATCTTTATTCTTTGAATACTGTGAACAAGTTTTGCCCGCAGCACAAATCTAAGACAAAGACTTTTGAAGTCATAAATTGGAGATGGGTCAGCATCAGGTAACCAAGGAAAAATGGGATGTTCACATTGGTGACAAAACAAAATCGTGGAAAAAAGATTTGCTGGAAAACACAAAGAGACTTTTAAGAGAACAGGAAAGAAAATTTTCTGAAACATCTTTGAAGGAAATGAGTAATTGGGGAGAAAATTCAATCATAGGAAGATGAGAGAATCAGTTCAAGTTGTGACTTAAAAGGCAATGAATGTTCAGATCAAACCCAGATGGATTCTTTGAGTTTAGATTAGTGCCTTTTAAGGCATGATTATCAGCTTTTCATGTAAAGACCCAATCTGAACGTCTTGTTGCATTGGGGTGAAAGTTGTCAGGGCCTCTTTGGTCTGATCTGAAGGAAAGGTGAAGTCTTCTTCTAACCTCTAAAAAACCAGTAGAGATTTTCATGGAAAAATACTTCCTATAATTCCGTGGGCAGTAACTTATTTGCTAGAGTAACTAAAAGTGATGATTAGTAGGGAGGAAAAGGAGGAGAGTGGTGCTCAGGCTCTAATCCACCAGCTGGGAGGGGAAATAAATCACACAGATAAATTCAAACGGCTGGAGCACTGTAGTCAGAAATACTAAAGCAGCCACAGTAAAAAGAATATGGGTGGGGGCGGGAATATTTATCTTCTCATAGACTTAAGGTTTTAGATTTAGGGGAGATCATTTATACATTTCAGTGTCTGTCATTTTGCAGATGAGAGACGTCAGCCTGAAGTGAACTGACTTGGCAAAAGTTCAAACATTTAAGCAAGACAAACCACTCCCCTGATCAAAAACCTCTGCTTATTATCTCTATATAAATATATAAAGTCAGAACAGCATGGTCTTAATATTCTGATCTTCCAAGATCTTGTCTCAAACTCTGTTTCTTTTCTTTTTATTCTTTTTGTCTTTCTTCTTCTTCTTTTTGACTGCCTTTTTTTTTTCTTTCCTTTCCTTTTTTTGGGACAGAGTCTCACTCTGTCACCCAAGTGTGATCACAGCTTACTGCAGCCTTAACCTCCCAGACTCAATTGATCCTTCTACCTCAGCTTCCTGAGTAGCTTGGACTACTGGCACAGAACAGCATGCCCAGCTACTTCTTGTATTTTTTGTAGAGAGGGGTTTTCATCACGTTGCCCAGGCTTGTCTCAAACTCCTGGGCTCAAGTGATCTGCCTGTCTCTGCCTCCCAAAGTCCTGGGATTATAGGCATGAGCCACTGTACCTGGCTCAAACTCTATTTCTGATTCCGTGTCTGTGCCTACCTCCTGTTCTCTGGATGGATAAAGATGAACTATTCTGGACAAATTTCTTTGGCATAATGGTTAAAGGCCTCAACTCTGAGGCCAGAGTGTGCTGTTTTAAATCCCGTGCCATGGTTTTCTAATCTGTAAAGTAAGGATAATAGTGATCAATCACAGAGGGTTATTAAGTGATTAAGCTACTTTTATGTCACTTAAATCAGCACTTACATTTCATAGCTAGAAACTTAAGTGTTAGCTTTCATTATATTTTATTTTTGAACACCTTGAACACTGGGAATACCACGCTGTGTAGCAACACGTGGTTTCTGCCATTGAGCAGTAGTGAGGAGAACAGGTGTCCCAACGGACATTTCCAGTGCAATATGGCATGTCCGATCACAGCAGCACAGGTATAAACGTGGGCCAAGGGGAGAACAGACAAGACATCCAGGCAGCTGGGGGCCATGGAGTGGGAAGACTCCTAATGAGTAGCTTTTTGCACGAGATTGAAAAGTCAAGGGAACGTCGTGGGGCAAGAAGGTTCCAGGCAAAGGGAATGGCATGTGTGAAAGCACAGGCATGAAGAGGCAGGCCACGTATGGGTAACGGTGGCATGTGCGACGTAGCCAGGGTATGGGTGGCAGTGGAGAAACTCGATGAAGTAGGTTTACACTCCTTTGCCAAAGGCCTTGTGGATTCTGTTAACAGTTCAAATTTTTCCCTTCGTGTAGGCAGCTATAGGGAGTTTTAAAGAGTAAAGGACATATTTAGATTGGTAGATTGGTTTCTTTTAGAGATAACTGTGGCTGCATTTTCACTATTAGCCTTCTACCTGTGAATTGTGTTTCTGTTAATATTTAATTTGGGACTGTAGAGCTCACTCTCCCCCTTATATCAATGTTGTTTCATTGGCTAGTTGGGAATGAGTATATGTTATCAAAGTGTTGCATAAAGGAATCAGATACTCTAACAAATGTTGTTATGTTTGTTGTATCAAGTACAGGAACTATTAAATGAAAAATTGGAATTTGAATTACCTCATTTTTAATTTATTCTTTTAAGGTCTGACAGCAGCAGCTGCAGCAGCTGCTGCTGCTACCAACGCAGCTATTGCCGAAGCAATGAAAGTGAAAAAAATCAAATTAGAAGCCATGAGCAACTATCATGCCAGTAATAACCAACATGGAGCAGATTCTGAAAATGGGGACATGAATTCAAGCGTCGGTAAGTTTTATGTTGGCTGAAACTTATTGTGATCACTTTGCTTCCCAATTACAGTACTTGCTTTTCCAGAACAAAACTGTTGGCTACCCATTCAAAAAGTCGGTACTTTTAGCTTGAAAACAGTGTATGTTTGAGGATACCTCACTGTTAGAGAGGATTACCTCTCTAACAGCTAATGATAATTGTTCATTCTAAAGGAATAATTAGCAATATTATTTTTAATTATGGGATCAACTTTATGTCTGCAACTTCTGAAAGCATTCAGCTAACATCTTTCATAATACAAATAAAGTTTAATCAAGTGAATTCTAAAACATTCAGAGTAGCTAAGGTGACAGAGAAATATGTACAAGTGAAACCTTACACTTTCCTTTTTTATTCTTTTAATGTGTTTGTTATCAAGTAAGAAATATACTACCATCGGCAGCAAAACATATAAATGTAACCTTTTCATATGCTGCCCAGAATACAGATTATGTTGACGATTAATTCTTTCCATAGATAACGGTTATCAATGTCTCTCATTTAAAAAGTACAACTTTAATTTTCTTGATTTTGTTTTTCTTTCCTACCTTATGGGGAAAGAAAGATGAAAAGCTAACTGTCACGGTCAAATAAAAAGAAACAGTTTTACCTGTGCCAGCTATCCATTTGTGTCATTCATTTTGTCAAACCCAGCTTCAAATATGGGTTAATTTTTTTTATTAATGAAATCCTTAACTTCTGGATGTTGATGGGGTAAAGCATTTTTGCTGCTATTGCACTGTATTGTTTCTCTTAAAAATGCAGAGACCATGCTCAAAATATAATTAACAAGAGAAATTTGGGTACTACAAGATGTATGCAAGATATTGTATCCAATGTATATTTATGAAGAGCCTAATAACTCATGGCCATTCAATTAAATTCTCTTTTCCATACAGTACCTTCATAGATTATTTCTTAAGTTAATTGTCAGCTCTCTACTTTCAGTCTATTAAGACATAGTTAAGTGTATATGAAGGAATACTGTGGATTTTAGTAACAATCATTTTCACAAAAGCTATCTGGAAATATACACAGATATGAATATTAGAGTAAAATATATAGACAAAACACAAAATACTCTTTCAGTAATGCTAAAATGCAGCTTTTAATGTAAAAAGGGAAAAATGCATCTTTTCAGTGGAAATACCTAAGGGAAATTGCAAAGGACCAGCAGTAGTGAGCTTGAATTGAGGGTAGGTTTGGGTTGCAGTTCTTGGAAGGATGAGAAGACATGAAAGAGAGCCAAAATAGATGGCTCTAAAGCTGCAAAGGACTAAAGATGCTATCTGTGCTTACATTTTCAATGCTCCTGGAGGGAAGACAGAGGATTGTTTAGGTCATCGTTTGCACACGTATATTTAGACATTTAAAAATTAAAACAGAATTGAAGTAAAATGCAAGAATTACAATTCTGTCTTCAGAACTATTATTTTAAAGTAATAGCCTTTTACTGAACTGATAAAATACGGCACTGTTAGATACTTTTAAAAACAAGTAATTAACCATTTTTTCATTATAGCTATTATTACAAAACATAATCTGGATTGTTTTCAAAATTTTAAAAGAGGAGGCTGTTCGTGCAGGCCATTCTTGATAGCTGGTTTTATGAGAAAGGATTCTTAAAATAGACAATTTAACAACATTTAAAGCAAAACATGTTGAAACATGTTATCTCTGTTTGAATTTTCCAGAGCAGAAGTTGGCTTTGGAGAAGCCAACAGGCCTAAGATAAAGAGAACATGGTTCACAATTAAGTATCAACATATTTTTCGTATTTGGTAGTATATGACAATATTTGCCTACTAACCTAATTGTAGCTTACTTTACTTATTTTGTTACATAGGCTATCCCAATGGCTTATAAAAAAAACAATTTGACTTGTCTTTTGTATTTTAGTTGGAATAAATGACTTTTCTTTCCATTAAAATATGCAGTTGATAGTTGTTACTGCATTTTAGTTTTGACATCCCTCATCCAATGCCAAAATGAACCAGGAACAGAAATTTACTTGAATTTTCCTAGAAAGTCCTAATAGTTTGAGATTGTGTTAACGTAATATCAGTGTTGCTGCTAGTCCCTAAGGCATTCAGGTCGTTTATATTAGATATCTGTAGCTGATTTGGACAAAAAGATATTATCATTGTAATTTTCATCCTATTTTCACGTACTGCTGTCCTCTAAGAATTTCCATTTTAATATTATCCTTCCTGAATACCTTCACCCCAGATATATATCTAGAGATCAAGGAAAGTGAGTTTGAGAGGGATGTGGTAGTGGAGGAAGTACAAAGCAATGATGAAGGTGGGGGTTGAGCTGCATCAAAGATCAAAGCAATTCCTGAATTGCAGCTTTGATGGCCACAATCTTCTCTGGTTCTGAGGACAATGCCTGCCTCTTGGTAAGTGTTCAATAATGAATTGCTCTGTGACTTTGTAAAGTATGTAAACTTTCTGAGCCCAATATTCCATACCTGAAAAATGGCATAAATAATAGTATCTATATAATGAGAATTAAAATATTTGTCATATTATTTATTTACAATGTCTGCGTATCACACTGGTTACCAGTGAGGTTGGTAGATTGGGGATTGCTTTTGCTAGTATTGTCACTATTTCTTCAAATCTGTCCTCCTGGAAATCACCTTCTTCCTTTGTTTTTTTTTTTTTTTTTTTTTTTTTAACCACCATCAACTGCTTCCACCTGTTTTTCTATTCTTGCTGGTAGCTATTATTTGCTAAGCTGCAAGCATGTGAGGAGATTTTGGGGCAGCTGTTACATATTTTAGATTTTGTAGGACATTGGATATTAGCTCATTCTAGGAATACAAAATTAATCACAATACAGACCCAGGACTCAGGGCATACAGTCTATGGATAAGATAGGTAGGTGAGCAGGCAGTTCTAACAGGATGTGCTGAATCCTCCAGGAGAACCCATTACCATGAAGTGGTACTGAAGCATATGAATTCTAGAAGGAATCCCAAGAATCTCCAAGGCTTATATTTTAGAATACAAACTGCTCTCATGAATCTATCAAATGTTGACTCTTTGAAGCGGTGAAATCCTTCAGAGAGGTGCTACTTAAATGATGTATCATTGCTACTCAGTCTTGCCCAAATCCGGTGACATTTTTGAAGACAATTCAGGGCTCTTGTTTTCTCCTGTACTCATCTGGCTCATAAGTTCTCTTAAACATTTTAGGCTTTTTTTTTTTTGGTAGGAACAGTGTTTTTTCCTTGATTGTAAATCAAACCTTAAAGCCCCAGAAACAGATTTTGTTTTTGCTTTGTTTGGTTTGATTTGCTGGGTAGGACAACAGGATAATTTTGTAACCTACAACCCTTTCCGGCTCATAATATGAACCTTAGAAATTAGCCAGAAAAAGATGGTTAAAGAAAGCTTTGATACTGGTGAATAATTATTCTATATCCCAATTTTACATGGTAACCTTTAGCTCATATCTTTCCAACAGAATGATCACTTTAGGAAGAAGTGAGGACCTTAGGATAGATCCGAGTGAGGCATCAGCACACTGAGTAAAATATATGGCCATGTCGCCATTCTCCCTCATCCACAATCAATTGGATTCTTTTAGTTTAATATTTACTTGCTAAGATGAGATGCTAGTCTGCATGGTGATAAACAGTCTGCTCTTGGCATCTGAAGGTGACCTGTCAGTTCATATGGACAAATCTCCTGCTTACTGAAATGTACAAAATAAATCATTAAAGCAGGCAGGTGCTCATTCCCAGATTTAAATCACCATGGATTTATGATTTGAATTAATGCTTCATTTGGCCATAGAAATAGATGCTGAGACAAATGATATGCACTGGTTGGGGTTTCCATACTGTAGCCATCCTGATATTGATTACTGAGATGTCTTTGCAATCTCTTGTTTATATCAAGTACTATCTTGTGACAGGTTGGCTGATATGAGCTACATTGCAGATAAGAAGGAAAAATGTCTTGGATTCTTTTTAGTGGCAACACTATTCACAACATAGGCCAGATAAATTACTATTTTTTTGCTTTAAGGACTGATCTACATAACCAGCTTAAAAAATGCTGCTTGGAAATTGGGACTGGTATATTGCAAAGGCAGAATTTAAAACCAGTGAGCCCAAGGTCAATTTGATAGTATCTATAGCTATGTTTTAATCTGTTTATCCTTTTTTTTTGGCATTATGCACACTTTTGAGGATACTAAATTAATCACAATCAGTTTAATCTAAATAAAGGAAACTTAATTTTACTTCTAGTTTTTAAATAGTATATAAATATTGACATAGTGAGCATCTCTTAATAGTTTCTATGTTATTTAAATACTTGCTAAACCTAGTATCTTACTCCCTTCCCTAATGACAACAAAGGAAATAACTCTTTAAAGATAAATACATTAAATACTATTCCCAAGTGCAACATTTTGTGGACTACAATTTACCAAGAGGCAGGAAAAGACTGCATTTTTACTTCTGTTAACATTTTATTTAAGGAAAACACTATGTATACAGTTTAAAAAATAGTTGGAAGATTTAAGAGGGACCTTTGCCACTAGCTAATATCTGACTCATAGAACTGGTAAACAGCTATCAACAATAGTAGATTGCTTGTTTAGTAGGAAATGAGTTCATATCTATTCAAAATGTAATCTCAAAACAGATGTCCCAAGAAAATCTCATTGTTTAAACCATAGTCATAACCTTCTAACTGCTTTAATTTCTTTAAGGAAGGGAAGTATTTGTAAGACTTGAGTGTTTTCTCTTTCTGAACATTGTGGAACATAGGCAAGGATACACAAATGCCCACAAACCTCAACACATTTCACATGCTCCTAACATATCATTATTTTCCATTTTCTCAAACTTGTAATTGTTACAAGAATGTAGAAGTTTTAAGTAAAAATAAGGACTTGAGTTTGAGAATAAAGCTGTGTTTTTCAAGAGTGTTTATCACTCCTTCTTCTGTTCCTCA